ATCTCTCTTCCTCGACACGTTCGCGATTCTTAAAACAAACAGAATACAGCATATCCATGATGCGTGGTGCAATAATAGGGTCGGAGTGAGGATCAGAGGGTGTCGGAGCAGGGAAAGTCGATGCTAGCCGTTTATGGGCACGCGATGTTGGGGAAACAACACGTTTTCGGTCGCAATCAGCGCTCTGAAATAGGCAGAACGAGAGCGGAGGCAGCTGGGCGACTGAAGGGAGGCACACTGAGAAGACGGCACGGATCATCCTCCGATGGAGACGAGCACCGTCATTACGTGAGGTTAAGGCCCGGAACAGCCACAAAATGCTACAAAACAATGCCGACGGATGGCGTGCCGTCCGCCCAATTTGCGGCTCCCCGCGTTCACGTTCCCTCCCTTGGGGCTGCATCGGCACAGTCCGCCCAAAGCCTTGATGAGTGCCAAATTATCGAGCACATTTTTTCGGATCTGCAGTCAGGATCCGTGTTGCAAGGGGAAAGCGGTAACACCGAGCTCGAGGGCAGAAAGAAAGCTTACAAGAACAATTTATTGAGCTGTCAAGAGTATAAGCTTGCAGGAAATACAAAAATCAAAATAGAAGATTTTCTTTCAGTTTGGTCTCGCTCTCAAAATTAACATATCCACGCCAACTCCCTAATCTTTCTTATATTTCATTATTGGATTTTTAGAAGTCTCAAAAGCAACTGTCTCATATTGTTCTCACCCAATAATACCATTGAAATGTCTAAGAATTTACTCTCGCAAAAAATACTTCAAACTGCCCTTCTTCTGAGCATTCTAATGTTGAAGTAAAAGTAAAAGGTGAACCGAAATCTGCAGAGTGTTGAAAGTTTGAAAACTAATAAGCGCTATCGAAGTATTTTTTTTTTGAGCTTGTCCCTCCTTCCTCAGTATCGCAGTTACCAAGTCAAAATTCCTAAAACTTTAGATGAATTTTTGTCAAAGTTGCTCAAGCCAGCTGAAGTAATTATAGTCGGAGACATTTGCGAAAATTTCTCAAATTAAGTTCAAAAAGTTTTGAAATTGACCAAAATTGCTAGTTGCTGCTAGAGAGCATCATAAACATTAAAGTGTCCTCATGTCATCCCTGTATCAGGTTCTTCCAAAATTTTGTCCAAAAAAATTAAATGCTATGACTTCGCCTATTCAAAATTATAAAACGGTTTATTCTAGATACTGGAGGGATGTCTCCTCCAGCACTGTGTGAACATAGCGCGGACTTAGCTAGTTTAGTCGTTTTCTGGCAGTGAGTTCACAACACTAGGTGATACTGGTTTCTTTACTTTTGTTAATGATTATGAGCTCTATTACAATCATAAACCTCCTCGGTCGAACGTCCAGTTGAGTTGAATGTGAAAACATGAGAATTGGGCATAATTCGTATCTTCGATGAAATGCGGTACGAATTTTTCACGTTAAAAAGCTATTGTGAGGCCCAGGTGTGACTAATTTTAAACACTAAAGTCAACTGCAGGAATTTGTTGATGTTAAGCAAAACTTCTATCTAACATTCTTTTTTCCACAACATCTTCAAAATGAATTCTTGCAAAGCGGAGATAATAGAATAGGGTACCCTAAAGATGCTCGCTCTAACACCGTATCGTTCATGGAGTCTCAAAAACTTTACATGCTTCCATATCTAAGGTACATCTAGCGAGAGAAACCTTTTCAAATTCTCTATTCCAAATTGGAGTGCTCTGGTCGCCGCTTCCGCAATATATTTAAGAGAAGAAAAGTAGTGTTCTGGTTGACGACATGGGACTGCCAGTATATCATGCAGACATTGAAAATAGGTTGATGCATAATTATCCGGACTTTTTTTGCGTGCTTGTATCTTTTTGTTTTGAAAGCTTTTTGTCTAT